CGAGGTGTCATAATAACGAATGAGTATGAATGATGAATTTAATCTATCGGTGATTTGGAATAGAAATTTATTAGAATATCATACAAAAATTCAACGTGCCATCGACCCCAGCTACGTAATAGCAGCTAAATTAAATTGGAAAGAAATTTATTAGAATATCAGACAAAAATTCAACGTGTCACCGACCTCAAAGCTACACGATAGCATTTAAATTAAGTTGGAAAGAATGATAATTTGGGATAGGGTGGCGTATTTTTTGTTGGTAGGTTTAGGTAACTTAGTGGGGAAGAAATTTCCTTATGTTTTAAGTTGAGAGAAGATGGTGACGTGTACCTATTGTATGGAAATTATGGCAATGGGGCTACCGGCTACCGGCTGCTCTGTTATTACCGTCGTCAAATCTTTGACCAGGCGTCTTTGTGCTGACGTGTGTGAAGTTTTTGTATAGCCATAAATTTTTTAAAATTTCACTTAAAACTTTTTAAAAATTAGAAAAGTACTAAAAAAAATTATTGGAAAAATAATTTTAATAAAAATTATTAATACTTTATTTTAAAAATAATCTTTAAATTTTTAAAAATACGATTAAAAAATACTCCCTATTTTTACAAATTTTAATTAATACCCTTCTTTTTAAAAAAAATCTTAAAAAATGTCTCCAAATTTTTAAAAAAATTTAAAAAATATCGATACTATTTAAAAAATTTAGAGATAATTTACGAAGAATTGATAAACAATTTTAATTTTTATCTATATAATAAATATTTATAAAAATTTATTTTATATCGGTTACAAGTGTTAATGTTTTTTTAAAACATAATAATGAAGAATATTAATGAAACTTTTAACGTAAAAATATTTTTGAAATAAAGTAACACAATTTTTATTTAAATTAAATAAAGATATTTTATAGATTTTTTTTTAATTTAGAAGTATAATTAATTTAGCGAAATTCTATATTTAATTTTGGAAAAGGGCACCAACCACAATTAAATTTCAACTTTGAAATTAATTCATTTTAGAATATTAAATAATTAAAAATATATAAATTTTATTTTAAATATTTGGATACCTTAAATACATTTTCTCGTTAATTTTAAAATTTAAATTTTATCAAATTAAATTTAATGCGCGAGGAAAATATTAATTAATTATAATTGTCAGTCAATTTTAAAAAAAAAATAAATAAAGTGAGCAAATTTAATTAAAAGATTCATAGGTCAAATTAATATTAATTAATCCCGAAATAAATGATGGCTTTACTTCAATTAATTTAATGTTTGATTTATTTAATTTTATTCTTGCATATAAATATCCTATATTTTTTTACAATATTACGTTGATAGTTATTGTCCAGTTTAGTCTGTTACGTATCGTTGTCAGTTTCACAGTTTTAAAACACGTGGGAGAGGTCTTCACACTTTTATGAAGAAAGTTTCGTTCTTCTCTCGAACCGACGTGGAATCTTATAATATACGATGTTTCTTTACGAGTCCTTATCAACCATTGAAAAATAATAAAAGAAAGCCGGGTTTGAAAAGGGAAAGCCCATATGTACAAAAAGCTATTGAAGGAGACCCTCTCTCGTACCCAAATCTCACGTCTTTAGATTGAGTTAGGTTTGTGACCCGAACAATCTCAATAGAGTTCGCGACCTAACTTAAAGATAGAGGGTTGGGTTCGGTTGTCGGGTTATTTTTTTATTTAATAACTAAAATCTTATAAATTTCAAATATTAAATATTTATAAGCAAACGTCAAATATTCTTAAATTTTTTTAACAATTTTAAAAGTAGGGTAGAGTTCGGTTCAATTAGGTTGGAATCCTCTTTTTATGTTGGTCGAGTTGACCTGACCAAAAAATTTCAACTCGCTCATCCACTTAAAATTTTAAAATATTCCATCTAACCTTTATAGTTTGGGTTTGGTAGTGGGAGTTAATCTAGTTAAGGCGAAAACGTACACAATAAAAATATTTTTTTAAATAATTTTTGAAGTTCAAAATGCACAGTTAGTCTCAATTAAGTCAATAGAAACAAAAATGATGAACGCATCCACGACCACATTCTATCCTCTTACCAAACCTTACTTTTCTTTATAAACGTGTAGAAACATACGCATTTTAAGATTGTGAAGCTGATGACGATACGTAACGGGCTAGACACCGAACAGGTGCCTCGCTGACCCCCCAAAGGACATGGATTATGAGAATTAGGGGTGTACATTCAACCCGACAACCCGGACCAACCCAACCCAAACTATAAAGGTTGGGTTGGGTTGGGTTCATTTATCGGAACCCAAACTGAATTGGTTCGGTTTCGGGTTCGTGGACAAAACCTTTAGGTTGACCCTTGCCAAATAAAAATATATCAAATATATTAATGACTTTCTTGTATTAATGGGTTTGCTAGGGTAGTACTCTCAATCTAAGAATACTAACGCCTGAGTTCAATGCGTTTTTTTTTTTTTTTTTTTTTTTTTTTTTTTTTTTTTTTTTTTTTTTTTTTTTTTTTTTTTTTTTTTTTTTTTTTTTTTTTTTTTTTTTTTTTTTTTTTTTTTTTTTTTTTTTTTTTTTTGTATTTGTTGTGTTTGTTTATGAACTTTTAATATATTTCATCAAATATTGTATCCGAATAATTATTATTGATTTGTGTTTGTTTGTGAACCTTTATTTCATCTATCCGAATAATTATAAATTGTGGATAAATAAAACTTAAAAAAAAATTGAGACCCAACTCAACCCAACCCGAAAATAGAGAATTGGGTTGGGTTGTGAAAAGTTTCAAATTGGGTTGGGTTAAAAAAATCCCTCAACCCAACCCAACCCGGACCATGTACACCCGTAGTGAGAATCCATCAATTGGGGAGGATAACAAATCATTCCTTATAGGGGGACGAAGCATCTACCTAATAGACGCGTTTTAAGACTATGAAGCTGATAACAATACGTAAAAAGTCAAAGAGGATAATATCTGCTAGCAAAAAATTAAATGAGAAAAAAAAAAAAAAAAAGACAAATTTTAAAGAACATTAATTATCTTATATTAAAAATTAATAATAATAATAACTCATCCTATACAAACAATCAGGTGATGCTTGTTAGTAGGCGACACATTATTATTATTTATTATTATTATTATTATTTCTAATAATAATATCATTTAATTATTTGAGGCTTGAATGTTCAAAAACGATGAATGAGCTGTTATCCTACTCACATTTTTTTTCTTTTCACACACACATAGAGAGATTTCCAAAAATCCCAATAAAATTTAAGCAATTGACTTGAGTGGGTTTGGTGAGAAATTTTCTAACGTTTTTGGTAGGTGAAGAAATTATTTATTTTAAATAATATTTCATTCCACTAAAAAAAACCTAATTTTATTTTCGATTTTAAATAATGTTTTTGTTCTGGGTTTTCCCTTCTGGTTTCAAAACGCGTCTATTGTGGAGAGGATCTAGCCCTACTTCGAGCAGTGTCTCACACTGTCCGATGACTGACTATGATACCATTTGTAACAACTCAAGTCTATCGCTAGAAAATATTGTCGTCTATTATGAAGAGGGTCTAGCCCTATTTCGAGTAGTGTCTCGCAGTGTCCGATGACTGACTATGATACTATTTGTAACAACTCAAGCCTACAGCTCGTAGATATTGTTTTTTTAGCTTTCCCTTGTTTTAAAATGTATCTGCTAGCCGAAGATTCTACCCCTCATAACATTAAATTTTTTTTGGAAATAATCTGTTAGAAAGAGATTTTAAAACAATAGCGTTAATTCTAATTTTAAAATTTTAAAAGTACTTTTTCAACTTTAAAGTTAAAAATATTTTAAAAATAAAATAGTAATTTTTTCCGAAAATTTAATACTTTTATTAATTTAACCTTTTTTTAAAAAAAAAAATTCCAACCATATAACAGGAAATAAATTAATTATACAACTAACTCATAAAATGACTATTAATCAAAATAATCAACTTAACCAAAATAAAAATTTGTTACTTTTTATAATGAGCATTAATGAAGTTCATTGAAACGGTAAACTCTTCACTTAGTCACACAAATTAATATTTTTATTTTTAAGAAAAAATTATCTTTTTGCAAAACGGAGACATGTTTTTAGACTCGGTTAAGTTGTTTCAATTATCTACGACAACGTCGAAGCAAAATTGAGAGTAAAGGACTAGTAGAGCTTCGTATCTTAAACATAGATTGAGAATGAAAGAACAGTTTCAAATTTGAAACGAAAATAATAATAATAATAATAAATAAAAATTTCATTTTATTTGACGAAGAAACTGAATTTATTGTCAATAGTTTTCAATTTTACTAGGAGGATGACTAAAATTAATTAATACATATGTTCAATTAAAAAAAATAATAAGTCAGGTAATTTTATTCTCCAACCATTTTTTTATTAAAAAAAAAAGAGTAACATTAATCACCTTAGCTTTTTTAAAAAAAAAATTAAAATATTTTATAATTAAGAGAAAAATAATTAAAAATAGACGGTTTTTATCTATATATATTAATGATTTATTTTATTTTATTTTATTTATATGAATTAAGGATATTATGACTCACAATTATTATTAAAACGTTTTGTTTGTTTTAAACTAAAATTTTTAAAAATTTAAAGTTATTTTATTTTTATTAATATGGCGTCAAAATTATTAAAATGGGTTAAAATATTTATTTTGAAATTATAAAAAAATAAAATAAAATACAAGTTGACAAAAATAAATAAATAAAATTGACCTTAATTATATTTAGCAAAGCAAGGTCGGCATGTCAGATATGGCTACTTCACCCACCTTCTTTTTCCCCTCCCACTAAGCGCGCTTATACACCAAACACCATATCGCCACGTGTCGCAATCTCCTCCCCCACACTGATCGGACGGCCGCAATCAGTTCTCAACTAACCCTTCGGCTAACCCCACCCGACCATCAATTACTCGCTCTATAAAACGCCGCAGAATTCTGGTAACACAATCAAATCCCTCCGATCAAAATTCCTCTCCCATTTCTCTAATCTCCACCGCTTTCCATGGCGCTCAATCACCAAAACGGCACCGCCGCCGTCACATTGAACCTTTGTAACACCAACGGCGACTCTTATTCCGACCCTTTAAAATGGGGTGCGGCGGCGGAGGCGATGAAAGGAAGCCATTTGGATTTAGTGACAAAGATGGTGGAGGAGTATCGAAACCCGGTGGTCCGGCTTGGTGGTGAGAGCTTGACTATTGCTCAAGTTGCCGCCATTGCCAACGCCGCCGGCGGGAATGTCACGGTGGCGCTGGCGGAGGAGAGCCGAGCCAGGGTCAAGGCCAGCAGCGATTGGGTGATGGAGAGTATGAATAAAGGAACCGATAGCTACGGCGTCACCACCGGTTTCGGTGCAACCTCCCATCGGAGAACTCGACAGGGCGGAGCTCTTCAACGAGAACTTATTAGGTCGGTAATTAATTTTAATATAAATTATAAAATATATTAAAAATGATTAAATTTAGAATTTTATTTAATTTTATCTATTTATTTTTATTAGGTAAGTAGTTATTATTAGGCATCGCAAGCTTTTTGTATAATTTATGAAATATAATGTTTAAAAAAAATCAATTATTTATATAATTTATGTTTTCTTTTATTTTTAAATAAAATAAAAAGGAGATTGTGGTTGGTAAAAACATAAAAAGATTGAAATGATTGCCGAATTTTGTAAATAATAAAAAATAATTTTAAAAAATATATAATTTTTAATAGATTAATGAACTTTGTGGTAGGTAAAGGCCAACTTGGAAATAAAAAATAATAAATTTTGAAGTCTTTAATTATACTTAAAATAATAATAATAAATAAATAAATAAAAAGAATATCGTGGATCATTAAAATCTCAATAATTTAATTTAAATTTATGATTTTGTGTAGATACAAAGCATTAGATTTTTTTGTTATGTTTTATTTTTATAAGGTAAGTAATTATTATTAGATATCTCAAGATTTTTTTTTTGTTAATTGTATTTTGCAATAATTTATATAATATTTTTTAAATTGGAATGATTTGAAAATTTTTAAATAAATAAATAAATAAATAAGAGATTAGGGTTGTGGATGATTATTGGAAGTAAGTCCCACATTGGCTAATTTAGGGAATGATCATGTGTTTATAAGTGAGGAATACTATCTCCATTGGTACGAGATCTCTTGTGAAGTCCTAAACAAGACCATGAGAGCTTGTATTCAAAGTGGATAATATCATACCATTGTGGAGAGTCTATATTAATGAACTTTGTGGTAGGTAAAGGCAGACTTCAAAAAAATAAATAAATAAAAAGAGAAAATCTATATATATATATAATTATTAATTTGTTAAGGGAATGAAAATCGTGGATCATTAAAATTTCAATAATTTAATTTAAATTTATGATTTTGTGTAGATATAAAGCATTCGATTATTTGTATAATTGACATTTTATTTTTTATTTTTGATTGAAAATGACTCTAATTATTTGACCAATTAAATTCTGACTTTATTTTTTAAAAATAAAATCGTTGATTTATTCAATCTTCATTCAATTTGTTGAGTTGCATATATCTAATTAATTTATTTTGAATTTCATTTCATTAATTTATTTGATAATCATTTAATTTTAATTGTTTGACCTTTTTTTTGTTTCCTTTTACAGGTTTTTGAACGCCGGAATCTTTGGCACCGGCGCAGAATCTTCTCATAAACTGCCACCGGCGGCGACAAGAGCCGCCATGTTAGTAAGAATCAACACTCTATTACAGGGCTATTCCGGCATTAGATTCGAGGTTTTGGAAGCCATAGCCAAGTTTCTAAACCACAACATTACTCCATGTTTACCACTAAGAGGAACCATAACAGCCTCAGGCGATCTTGTTCCTCTGTCTTACATAGCTGCCCTCTTAATCGGACGACCAAATTCCAAAGCTGTCGGACCTTCCGGCGAGCTCATTAACCCATCCAAAGCCTTCGAGCTAGCCGGAATCCATGGTGGGTTCTTCGAATTACAGCCTAAAGAAGGCCTCGCGCTTGTCAATGGCACCGCCGTCGGGTCTGGCTTGGCGTCCATGGTGCTTTTCGAAGCCAACATTTTGGCTGTTTTGTCTGTCGTCTTGTCGGCTGTCTTCGCTGAAGTTATGCAAGGAAAGCCCGAATTCACCGACCATTTAACACATAAATTGAAACATCATCCAGGACAAATCGAAGCGGCGGCGGTAATGGAACATATATTATCCGGCAGCTCTTATGTAAAATCAGCTCAAAAACAGCACGAAATCGACCCATTACAGAAGCCAAAACAAGACAGATATGCATTAAGAACATCCCCACAATGGCTCGGGCCACAAATTGAGGTCATCCGAGCTGCAACGAAGATGATCGAGAGAGAAATAAACTCAGTAAACGACAACCCATTAATCGATGTGTCAAGAAACAGAGCATTACATGGAGGGAATTTCCAAGGGACACCCATTGGAGTATCAATGGACAACACAAGATTAGCCATAGCTTCAATTGGCAAGCTCATGTTTGCTCAATTCTCAGAGCTGGTAAACGATTTCTACAACAATGGGTTACCTTCAAATCTCTCAGCAAGTCGTAATCCCAGCTTGGATTATGGGTTCAAAGGAGCTGAAATCGCCATGGCATCGTATTGCTCTGAGCTTCAATTCTTAGCTAACCCTGTCACCAACCATGTCCAAAGCGCCGAGCAACACAACCAAGATGTAAACTCATTGGGATTGATATCATCCAGAAAAACAGAGGAGGCCGTGGAGATATTGAAGCTGATGTCCACTACTTTCTTGGTAGCCCTTTGCCAAGCTATTGATTTGAGACACTTGGAGGAGAATTTGAAGAACACAGTGAAGAACACAATCAGTCAAGTAGTGAAGAAAGTTCTTATCAATAAGTATAATGGCGAGCTTCATCCGATTCGATTCAGTGAAAAACATCTGCTTCAAGTGGTTGATCGAGAACAGATATTCAGTTATATTGATGATCCTTGCAGTGGTACATACCCATTAATGGAGAAGCTAAGACAAGTTCTTGTGGATCAAGCTTTGAGGAATGGGGAGAAAGAACAAGCTATGAACACTTCGATTTTTCATAAGATTGGAGAATTTGAGGAAGAACTAAGAACACTACTGCCAAAAGAGGTAGAACATACAAGAATTCAATTTGAGAACGAAAACTCGACGATTCCGAATCAAATCAAGGAATGTAGATCATACCCATTGTATAAGTTTGTGAGAGAAGGATTGGGGACGAGTTTATTAACAGGGGAAGAAATCAAATCTCCTGGAGAAGAATTTGATAAGGTGTTCTTAGCTATTTCAGGTGGGAAGTTGATTGATCCGATGTTGGAGTGTTTGAAAGGGTGGAATGGTGTTCCTCTACCGATCAACTAGCTGGTTTGATTTATGATTCTCTTGTTGTTTTCATTTGTGTTTTTGTTTGTGTTTGTGTAATAGGAACCACAAAATTGGGTTACGTTCGAGAGCAAAGTAGCTCGATTGATAGTTGTGTTGATATGTAATGTAAGAAGGAAATAATGACGAGTTTAAACGAATTGAATTGAACTCTTGGTTTACTCTTCAATCTAGCTCGATTATGTCGTTTTCATTTTAGAAGCTTACTTGTTTGAATAGGAGCTTGATCGAGTACAGACATAAATCACTTTGGTTCTTTCTTTAAATCTAGGGATTTTGGAATGTCAAGGTGGATGTGTAGGACAATTTGTTTTCGAAGCCATGTCTTGGCATGACGATTACCTTTGTTGAGCCCATCAATGATAACGAGTAGTCTGACCTACTAAGCTCGGTCTTGACCAGGTCAAGTGTCTACTTGCCACTACCCAAATCTTTGCTCCTGAATTTATAAAAAATAAATAGGAGTTTAGGTCGGGAGAAAAAGACATCGGCCCGATTGTGGTTGATTCGCTAAGACAAGTCTACGAATGATGTCTAAAAAGGAATGATGAAAGGTACCACAAATCATGTGCAATAAGAGAATGAAGAAATATTGAAATGGTTATACCGAGCCTAAACCTACAATCCTAGGTAATATCGGAGGAAAATTTAAATTTGAAACTAAATAAATTACACGTTAGGAGCACGAAAGCACTATTTATGTGTTACTCGATCAAAAGCCATAGAAACGTCACCTCCACCTAGCCGGTTGTGATAGAAGCAATTGGGAGTGAGTGATTTTCGAGCCATACCCTAGTCGTAAAGCATGTAGAGAAACATTCTCTAACGAGTGAGGGATTAGAGAGATTTCTCGTTAGCTATACGAGATAGAGTTTATATTTTCTCGTTAGCTATACGAGATTAGAGTTTATATTCTCGTCCCTAGCCTGGCCCCGACCTGCCCTACTATATATATATAATCAAAATTAAGACACAAATAAATGGATAAATAATTATTTATATTATTTTAATTGATAGAAATATGGATAAAAGGTTTACTGAACGAGTGACTCAGCAAGTATCTAGAAATTTCCTGATCATTATTATGGATGGAAAGACATATTTACCCTTCTCAAAGTGCTTAAAATCAAATACGCGGAGATGCAATTTCCTCATCGCTAAGTAAAAACTGCTTCTTCGATTTTTCTGCAACTCCACTCCGTCCGATCGGTTTTCAGTCGCTTCACCGATAATGGCCGCCGCTGCTCCTCCGCCGGCTCCGACCCCAACGCCAACGCCGCCCAACACAGTTCCGGCGGGTTCTACTCCAATCGGTCACCCTCTGTTCTCACGAGTCCGTCTTGCAACCCCTTCCGACGTCCCTCACATTCACAAACTCATCCACCAAATGGCCGTCTTCGAACGCTTAACCCATCTCTTCTCCGCCACCGAATCTGCTCTCTCCGCCAATCTCTTCTCCGATCCGCCGTTCCGATCGTTCACCATTTTCATCCTCGAAGTTTCCCCTAAACCCTTCCCCGAAAACTCCCCTCATAACGCTAACCCTAACTACACCCCCGTCGTTCACATCATCAATTCCGATCTCCCTGTGGAAGATCCAGAACGGGAGATTTTCAAATCGGAAGATGAAAACATCGCGGTTGCTGGATTTGTTCTATTTTTCCCCAATTTCTCATCCTTCTTGGCGAAGCCAGGTTTCTATATAGAAGATATCTTCGTGAGAGAGTGCTACCGGAGGAAGGGTTTGGGGAAAATATTGCTGTCGGCGGTGGCGAAACAGGCGGTGAAAATGGATTACGGGAGAGTGGAGTGGGTGGTGCTTGATTGGAATACAAACGCAATCCAATTTTACGAGGAAATGGGTGCGCAAATCTTGCCGGAGTGGAGAATCTGTCGACTCACCGGCGATGCGCTTCAGGTTTATGGAAATACTAACTGAAACTAATGGAGTTTTCACTATTTCTTTACGCGTTTTGTAGCTTTTTCATTTCACTTGAAGAATCTGGAGAGAATTGCTTATGCAATTCCCATTAGGGTGTCGTCCTATCAGTGTATGGTTTTTAAGTTAATGTTAATCTCTGAAGTTTTTGATCATGATCTGCAGTGTTCATCTTCATTTTCTGCCATTTTCATGAACATTATTCTGCTGAATTCTGAATCTGATGTGGGTTTGTTTTAGAATCTCTAATTTGACTTAGAAATGAAGAATGATAAAGGTTCTGAACTGTGTGCTTTTTGACTGAATTGTGAACCCATTATGGATAATTGCTCGACACTGTGACTCTGATTCTTAAACATGTTAGGACCCATTTGCTTCTTCTTCCTCTTTCCAAATGGTTTAAAGATTCTCTTGGTTAGCTCGTAAGGATTTGTACTCATGATTGAGGCTGAATTGAATTATTGCCGGTGTTACCAACTCCAATGGAATAAATTGTTAAAAATTTATAGTTTAGTGGTTCCCCTAAACCAACATGGGGACGGGATTATGTATTGCGTTGACCGGATAAATGGGCCCATGAATGGGATTCGGGGACGTGATTATGTATTACATTGATCGATTCGGGGACGTGATTATGTATTACATTGATCGATTCGGGGACGTGATTATGTATTACATTGATCGATTCGGGGACGTGATTATGTATTACATTGATCGATTCGGGGACGTGATTATGTATTACATTGATCGATTCGGGGACGTGATTATGTATTACATTGATCGATTCGGGGACGTGATTATGTATTACATTGATCGATTCGGGGACGTGATTATGTATTACATTGATCGATTCGGGGACGTGATTATGTATTACATTGATCGATTCGGGGACGAGATTATGTGAATCGGATAAATGAGACAAGGGACGATATTATATCACATCTTTTTATAAAGTATAAATCTTGACCTTATGTTAAAAGGATAGAAGTGTTGTTTTATTTTTCAATGATTAATTTATATTTATCTTAGTGATATTAAATCATTAGTGGGTAAGCTAAATAATAAGGCCTACTTTTGAATTTGTGTTGAAAGAGAATGTGGAAATAATTTTTAACCAAACATATTCCACAAGCAAAACAGTATTTCAGTTTATTTTTTATTTCATTTTTAAACTTCTTTATAATTCTAAATATTATAATTTAATTTTAAATAAATCTCAATAAAAACTAATTCAAATATTAAATACTAAACAAAATTAAATGAATATCAAGCTTATAAAAAATAAATAAACAATAAATAAATGTTTTTTCGTCTAATAATGATTATAATAAGACTTTTTCACCCGAGTCCAAATGGTCAACGTCAAAGTTGGATTAGTGGGAGAAGTTTGGTTTATAACATTAATCTTGTATTTTTCTATATAAACACACGTATATATATTTCAATCATTATATCATATAATATACATCATCATAACTTATATATAATATACATCATCATCATGTATCCCTCGTTGCGTATAAACTTCTACAAAATATCTTCTATAATTATTTTTACCCTTTTAATTTTTTTTAAAAATATACTTTTTTTGTCAATTGCTTAATATTTAAATTCAATACCGGTCTCACATTTATTTTTTCATAAAAAAAATATAATGTTTAATTATTTCTTTCTTTATTTTTTTTTCATATCAATTAATCTCACCAAACAACTATTTTGACTTTATTATTTTTAATTGATAAAAGAATACTAAATATTTATTTATTTTTTTTTAGTCTAAGAAATAAATAAATTATGTTTAATTTTAATTAATCTTTGAAATATTATGAATATTGAATTTTAATTCTAATATCCATGAAATTATACAATTTTAAACTACGATTTAAATTAGATAATAATTTTAAAATGCACGAAAATAGAGTTTTTTTTTTCAACATAAAAATAAATGTATGAAAATGCCTTTTCTTCTTAATTTCTTTTTAATTATAAATTAATCCCTGGAGGAACCAAAGGCTAACACACCAGCGTGGAATTGCCGGCGTAGAAAATTATCGGACGATTTTATTTTAATTTTTTATTTATTTTCAAGAACCGTGTCTAAACTCTGCTTCTTCGTCGTCGTTTGGGGTTGTCTTCTCCGATTGACAGCGACATGACTGAAAGTATTCAATTTCTGTTGCAGACAAAACCCTAGATTACTCCACCACCTGGATTTCCCCATTCTCAGACGCTCAATCTCGACGGTGACGGCGACGGCGAAGACGACGCCGTTTCTGTCCTTATGTTTTCTGATCTTCGATTTCGTATTTCGTCACTCCGATGTGCAAATCTAAGAAAAGCACGGACGTGATCGAGCCCAAGAGCCCTAGATCTTCTCGCCATCAACGAACATCGAAATCCTTCGCTACTGCGTCGTCTTCGCATCCGGATCCGTCAAGTTCTGTGGATTTTGCAAGTTACAATGTCACCACTACGGATACGAAATCGAGTACTAAGAATTCGTCGAAATCTTCCGCTTCTAGTCGCGCTTCTCTTGCTAGTTTCAAGGAATCTCTTCCCGATAATCCTCTGATTTACGAGTTTTCTGAGATTCGTTCTGCAACGAACGGTTTCATCTCCAAACCGTTCTCTTCGTCTTCGTCCGCCACTTCGTGGCGGTGCTTAATTAGGGGAAAAGACGTTATCGTCTTCCAGCGGAAATTGCTCCGCCCGATTGAGTTGCCGGAGTTGAAGCATCAGTTGTCTGTTATCTGCCGGAGCCACCATAACAATCTGGTGAAGCTACTCGGCGCGTCGATTTCGGGGAATTATATTTATTTGGTGTACGAATTTATCGCTGGAGCAAGTCTCGCAGAATGTCTTCGCAATCCGAGGAACCCTAATTTTACCGTCCTTTCGACCTGGATTTCTCGGATGCAGATTGCCGCCGATTTGGTGCACGGACTCGATTACATCCACCATTGCTCTGGATTGGACATGAAATTCATCCACAATCACATCAAGAGCTCCAGCATTGTAATAACCGATGAAACCCTAACTCCGAAAATTTGCCATTTCGGCGCCGCAGAGCTCTGCGGCGAGTTGGCTATGGCAGAGGAGGAGGAAGAAGGAGACGAATTAGAGATTACGACATACAGGCAACCAAAGCGGTCGAATAGTAAGAAGATGAAATTGGAAGGGACGAGAGGGTATATAGCGCCGGAGATGATGGCGAACGGGACGATGAG